CAAGCTTGTAGGAAGCTTGGTGAAGTCCTTAGGAGGCTCGGGTGGTTCGTTTGAAGGTTTTGGACATCGGGATCGTGAGTTACAAGTTTGGCCGGAGTTGGTGGTGTTTTCCCGGCGAGATTCCGTGGGTTTTAGTACTTGAAAGTGGTATGGATTTGTTCCTCTTGTTGTAAGCTTCATTTTGGTACTAATTTTGTGAAATTTGGTTGAAAAACAAAGACGATACAAGGTTTTAAAATTTTCCCGGTTTTTCGGCGCCGGCGATGACGTCGGAGTTTGGCTGGAGAAGATGACGGAATATTCCGTCAGTTTGGACGGAATATTCCTAATGGCGTTAACGGAATATTCCTGACGGCATTAATTGACGCCGTCAGTGTGCTAAGCACGTGTCTGTGCGTGGGCGACGCGTGTGGCAATGCCTTGGCCGGCGCGTGGGGGCGCGTGCAGTGTCGAAATTTTTTTCTAAAAATATGGGGATGTTCCTGAGGTTGAGTAGATCACGTTGGTGTATTCATACACCCCATTTGAGCATTGTATGAGAAGTTATTTCGTGATGTTGGTTATGTGCTTTAAAATTAACGTTTTTATAGTTGTTTCGCATATAGGTGAGACCTATCCCGAGGACGAGCGCGATCACTTGAGGCAAGGGGGTTACGACCCTTCTACATATCAGTGAGTGGGCTTTTGGTTTTCCGTATATACCTATATACTTACGTTTTTCCCAGAAGGTGAATGGAAACGTTTATACATTTATAGGCCATGCATTATGTATGCCGTTTGTTTATGCATTATTAGTAGCATATATATAATTGTATGTTGGTGCTGCGGGCTCACAGGTAAGTGCCAAGTGAGTATGGTTTATGCTTATATTCAGTAGTGGTTTGAGATGCATAAAGAGCTCATAACTTGCACCCCTGGTGTTAGTGTTCCCACCCAGAGTTAGGCACAGTCCTTCACGTGATGTTCACCTCCCGCACCACACGTTCATCTTAGATCCAAGTTAGGTGCATAGTCCTGTCGTACAGACCACTTTAGGTGGTTCTGACTCGTAGGTGACCCGCGATTATTCGCCCAGCCTTCACGTGATCGTGGCACTTGAGCGTACTTATATTACACCCAGTCCTGTCATACAAACCACTTTAGGTGGTTCCGACTCGTGTGCAGGTACAGTTAATGAGATGGAGATTTGAGCTCTAGATTCAGCCGTACAAGTCACATTAGGTGACTCCAGCTGACAGATTACATGGCATTGATTTGACATTTCCTGAGCACTTGCATTTTTTAGAGGCATTTGACATGGCATATTTCCGAGCATGATTTACATATATGTATATTATATTTTCTGGGAAGTATACAGGTTTTATAGCGAGGGATTAGAACTTTGTTTATGAAATGGTTTTTGAAAAGCTTTGTTTTTGCCCACTCATGCTTTCTGTTTTGCGCCCCTCCAGGTTCTAGTTGGCTAGCACTTGTGGTGGCTCCCCAGAGGATTTTCCCGGCATATCTGACAGATTATCACCAGTGTAGGACCACCTTTGGGGTGTGTTTTTGTAGTGTTGTTTCTCCCGGACTGCATTAAGTCTTCGTGCTCTGAACTTTGTTTTCACACTTACGCTTGCACATGTATGTTCTTACTTTGTGTATAGTTGGTTTTTATTTATTCGTACTTTTATTATTTATTTTATTAGCTTCCGCACTGTGCACATGGTTACGTCACTTCCACGTGACGGCCAGCATGCCCTGATCTCGGTCGGGGTGTGTCAGAGAGTCCTAACTCCCAAGCAAGGCAGAAAATAGGGTCCCTCCAAGGGGAAGGCTACAAACTCCAAGGAAAGGTTTATTGTGTCAGTGTTAGTGTAAAAGTTGGGATTCCAATCATGATAGGAGCATATTTATGCACCTTAGTTTAGCTTGTCTTGTGCATTTAAAGTGTTTTTCCTTAGTAAAGTAGTTTTTTAAGCTAGTTTTATGTATTTTCAGGATTTAAGGGCAAAGTATGCAAAATGATGCATTTTGGAGCATTTTGGAGCAAATTAGAGCTTGGAATGGATATCATATGCTTGGAGCCAAGAGGATGGACGAAATTATTGCAGCCACCAATCACCCTAGCTGTCACTCACATGCTTTCCCATTCTATAATTCACCCACATGCTCTCCCATCATCATTCCACACCTCCATTGCAGCCACCAACCAACCTAGCTGTCACCCACATGCTCTCCCATCATCATTCCTTCTTTAATCCATTCAGCCACATGCTTTCCCATGTGATTATTCAGCCACATCCATGCACTCTTCATGATGGCAGCCACATTCTCTCTCTAGCTATCATATTCCCTCTTTAATCATTCATCCACCTATAAATAAACCTCCATTGCAGCCACAAACCATTCAATTCATTCACCATTCACGCCAGAAATTCATCCCCTCTCTATAACACATCCATAGTTCACCATTCTTCATATTTTCTGCCCAAAAATAAGTCTTGAAGTCCCCTATATCCATCCCTATCCTAAACACATCATTCTACACCATCCATAACCCCCAAAACCTATCCTTAGACCTTGTGCCGCAACAAAGAGGAGGAGAAGGGCCTAAACGTTCATACAATTCAAGTTTGAGTTGTTGGAATTTTTAGGTGTTTCTTTTCCTTGATTTCAATGTTTAATTTCAATTCTCTTTGTTTTGTGCGTATGAGGAACTAAACACCCCCCCTTGGCTAGGGGGGGATTCGAAATACATGTTTATGCTTGCAATATGATTTGATTACTTCCAATTGCGTTTCATAAGTTGTGAATTCAATTTACTTATCTATGTGAATTACATTGATTTGTGTGTGTTGGTTGAGAGTGCACGCTTAATTATCATGCATAAATTGGATGCTAGGATATAAAGAAATTTCACCTAATCGTTATGGAATTATATTCACAAGTAGTAAAGGTTGATGATCTCAATAGCGTTAAGTAAATTCTTGGCATAAGTTTCATGCAATCATAGTAACAAGTGCTTCGTCAACGCTTATGGTTTTCATAGAACTTAATGATTCTTGCTTGTATCTCTATTATGCAATCATGTAGGGGACTTGTGGGGAATGTTTTGGGTTGTCGTATGCAATCATCCAATTCAATAACGTTAGGAAAATCTGAGGGTTAGTTAGTGCAATTCACAGTTAATCTGGGGCGTTGAGAATTCATGGTTTATTGAAAAGCAATTAAAAATCGTTTTGTGTGCAAGTATAACATGTGTGGAGATGAACCCCTTAGCTAGCTTCCCATCCATTAAATTCCATCAAATTCATCTTTAGAATCTGCCCTTATTTACAATCTGTGCATTTAGTTTAATTTCGTCAAAACCTCAATCCCCCTTTACTTTAGTGTCCAATTTAGTTAGAAAGTGTCTTAGTTTGTGTTTGTAAGTGTTTTGATTCAATTTATTACACAAATTCGTCCAAATTCACCAAAGTGCTCAAAATTGCCCAGATTGTGTTTTTAAGGCAGTTTTGAGTGTTTTGGGGCTGTTTTGAGTCCTTTGGTTTGTTTTAGTGTTTTAAGTGTTTAGTTTTGCATTCTTTGAGTCTAGTTTAGTGTTTTAAACTTTATTTTACGTTTTTGAGTCAGTTTCCAAGTGATTTTGCAATCCCTCCTAATCCCCGGTTAAGAACGATCCCTACTTATACTTATACTACAATTGATAAAAAGAGGGTTTAATTTGTGTGCGTATAATTCTCACATCAAATCACAACTGAGAACGCAGGACGACATCTGCTGTGCCATCTTTCCAACTGTCCACCCTGTTACTTTACTCGTGTGTTGACACATGTCCATACCAAGAACAAATATTTTAAACAAAATGATGTGTTTGCAAATGATTAGATTATTAATCAAATATCGATTAACATGCTTGCATTTTATCGATGATATATCTTTTGATCTCTTAGTATTTTTCAAATAAAAATTACAAAATTAAAAAAGAAAAGACGAATCCATAGTTCCAAACCGAAAAGAAGAATCCAGCTAGCCGCCAAACCCCGTCAACCACCCAATACCTAAGAAACAACAGACCCACTCCCCACCAATGGAGGTCAGTCCTCTTGGTTATGTGAGACAGGAGGTTGGTGGGTGGGTGTGCATCTGGGTTTGCGAATCTGGATATGATGGGGACAGAGAGAAGATATTTTGCCGGCGGCAAGGAGGGTAAGGCTGGCAGCCGCCAACGTGCTATGTTTTGGCACATAATTAAATGTATGGTGAGCAAAAACGCTCTCCTTCTCCTTCTTTAAATGTGACATTATTAAAGAGTCTGCACATGTTTCAGCATATGGGCAAAGTAACAGAGTGGGCAGAGTAAAAATGGGCACAGCAGATTTGCAGTGGTGCAGAAACATGTTTCGGCCTATCAATTGTGGTCCATGACTTAAGCCCTTCGCGTATTAAATTGTGAATTTGGATATTCATTTTTTTTAATTTAAAAAAAAAAAAAAAATCTTAAATTTAACTGGATTTTATATAACTTGTGGTACACAAAATTCTTAATGCTGATTTGGTGTGTATATTCTCACCTAGTTGGTTGAATTGAAGAAAAATGTTTTTCGCCAGTTTGAGCATGAAGCTTGGGACGGTTTCCCCCGACACCGCATGGATGACTCCCAATCATTGATGCAATCGGGATGACACATATATAAATGCGCGACTTGCTTTTGTAGCTCGAAGTCACCTGTGCACAAAAACACGGAGAACTTATATGGTACAAGTTCACCGTCATGGTGACATCCTATGCTAATAACACAAGAACATCTGAAAAGAAATAGCACGTCTTTGTATTATTAGCATAGGACGCGTATCTATGCCATGCAAGTCCTTTCCGTATACACGGGCTGGTGTTCCTATGACGGTGAAAGCAATCTTTGGTATTGCCCATCCAAGAAAGAGGTGTTAAATCGACCAAGAATCATATTAAATGTGTGAATGACAGATTAGGAAAGGTGTTAGGTTTATACTAAATGTAAAGCAGCAAAGAAGTTGCTATTACTTTTCATAGCATTGTATAATATGAATAATTTCACTAATTTAGTGCAAAACCCTATCAAAAGAAAAGTACACTTCTCAGTGCAAAGTTTGAAAACCACAATACCAACACAAAAGCATCAATTTTGGTTCATTAGAATACACCGAACTCTTGACCTAACCTTCTGTTCCATCATCCCTCATGGCTCGGACAAGAGGGCGGATAAAGGAAGCACCATTTCCGCAGCAGCTCTCGTCCTAATTGACTGTATAAGAATGTACCAAGCAGCAGAAGGATATCATACTAATAGCATCTACCAAGATGCAGACCGCCCCGTCTCTGTATATACTAATCTAGAAGTCTCGTCTGCCCCTAGAATAGAATGTGCTACTAACTTGCTAATTCTTAAACATGGATCAGACCTGATTGCATACTCTAGCACTTGATTCAACGATGCATCCATGCGAGATGATGATTTTGTGTAATTGTTTGTAAATGTACTACTTTTCTACAATATGTTCTGTACATAGAGTTCCCGCTAAAAGGGAGCTAAGCAGTAGCATACTTATGTACACGGTTTTTATCTAGCACATTGTTACAGAGAAGCTCAAACTGATTCAGGTAACAGTAGATGGACATACCATGATCCCAATATTTTCCTTTCTTGCGCCTGATGTGATTACAGGAAGAACGCTTGAGCTAACCATTGTCGACATAGAGATTTTATTTTTTATTTTTTGTTTTTTTTATGAAGCTGGCAAAAGTTAGGGAAACAAAGCCTTGATAACAAAGACAGCAATCACTATTAACACAGCAACTGTACAAATCAAAGCCTGCAAAAAGCACAACATTTTTATCAAGGAACAATGATAAAGACGACAAATGCACCATCACTACTAATTGAAGTTATGTAGAAACAAATATCTATACTCTACATCATCATTAGAAATTGAAATTGTAGAAACAAATATCTATACTCTACATCATCATTAGAAATTGAAATTCATGTACAAACAAGTATCTATACTGTATAGACATTTTTCCAACGTTACCAATTCAAACATGGTTTCTACCGAAAAAAAAAAAAAAAAAAAGAAAAAAAAAGTATGGTTCCAAAGGCATGCTTCTCTTAGCTATTAATTGAACGATTCTCGTAAAATCTTGCAGTGTGTCCTAGTATCTGGACTTGTAAGTGGTAAGTGGTGGAGGACATGAATAACCAAAGAGCTACTTTATCACACTGAAACCAAAACCAACCAAAACACTGTAAACCGAAGCATTTAATTTAGCAAGAAATAACAGAGGATCAAGAATGCAAGGTACAATACTGAAATCCATACACAATTTAACTTATAGGTGCTTCTATTTGTAGCATTATTTTTGCTCATTACAACCCTTCCCAAAAGAAATTCAGAATTACCCCATTTAACCGGAACGTGGTTTTAAAGTTTCTATCCGTTAAAATTTATGAAATAGTTAAGAAAAGAAGAAAAGAAATAAGGTTAGAGAGGAGAAACAGAATTAAATTTCTTCTACAAATGAGGATAAAATGATTATTAAGCTGCTTAATTTTTTAACATAAAACTTACTGCTACTGCTGACGCTTCAAGTCCAGTTCGTTCCCTTGGGTCTTTTTGATAGTACTTCGAAAAGTAAAGAAATGTGGCATAGTACCACATCACTGGAAATACAAATCCAAGCAGAAGACTGAAAAAAAAGGCACATCAATTAGTGTGTGTGTGGGGGTGGGGGCGGACTGTAGTGGGAGAGAGAACAGCCAAGAACACTCACGAAAACCATCCAATTCCCCAGCCAAAGCAAGGAAGGGGTTTGTCAAACATTCCCAATTTCGGGTCCTCTTGATCACCAATAGGAGCATAGTCGCCACTTCTATGGTTCACTACATCTGTTGAGATCCCTGTGCTCACCCAACCACTTTCAGAAGGAAATCCAATAACATCTTATCATAAAATTTAACAAAGGTAATCCATTAATAAATTAAACGCATCGCTTGTATAAGCTTAGCCACCAATGATGAAAGGTGGGAAATGACTTCTGCATTGGCAGAACAGATTTGAAATGTGCACCAGATGTTAAGGACTTATAGACTTTTAGTAGTCCTTCAGAAATCAATTTTACTCAGTGGTTTGACATGTGCTGCTGTAAAGCAGAGTTGTCAGATACAAAGTACTAACAATCGGTATGGAGGCCTCACTAGGCTAGTCATACGCCAGGTCAATGATTTCATAAAAATCTAGCTTTTACCAACTGATGTTGAATCTCCTAAGCTAATCATTAAGTAGCATCCCACGGTGTGCATGAAAAAAGTGAGAGCTGCATGCATGAACATAAATTTTTGGCATAGAAAGCAGCATTGTGCAACGCCGCATTTTCCTCCTACAGACATTCGTAGATAGTGACATATTATACGGACAAATAAATGAAATAGGATGCAGAAGGAGTTGCATACTCTGATCCATGTGCCTGAAAGATAGTCACCCTCAGTTCTGCTCTCCGTCTTGAAATTAACTGTTATTTTAAATAATAAAAGAAGTTGTTACACAAAAACATTATTCTGTTAAACAAATGACGACAGGTTAAACTATGACGAATGAAGATGTGCATGTTGAGGAAAACAAAATCCAAGACCATTTTACTGTGCGCAGCATCAGTTAAGCTACTAAGATATAAACTGCATGAAACACTCAAATGAATATGAAATGGAAAGGGAACAAAAACAAAAACTAATATACCAGCAAATGGATTGTCCCACAAAGAGAAAATAGTTATTTAACAGGTCAAGACTTGAAAGACTTATACGGCACACCACCGTATGATTGCACTAGGGTGAGAATTCACCTCATAATCTTAACTACTCAAGAGTGGACGCAGTACTTGATGCAGAAATCATAGACATTTATCACAACTATGCAGTATTTGCTCATAAGAGTGTCACTTGTTCCAGTTCATACTAAAACTTGAAAACATTATAAAAGATTCATCAGGAAGGAAAATGCCCAACAAATGAAAGATATGCAGAAATCGGCTTCCCAGATTCTTGGTGGTGCATCCTAAAAGGATATATAAAGAACAATCACTCACTAACTAAATCATAATGACAGAAGCATCTTCGACTTAAAAAAGAATTTGCACTAATTAATTCATATTGGCATTGTACTAGCCATATTACACCGGTAGAGTAAAATCATCATCATCTTCGACTTAACAAAGAATTTGTAATTTTTGATAGTAATGCCACTCTAGTATGAACCAGTCACATTGCCACATTAATTCCTAGTGCAGTCATATATCACTAATATCGGCATAATCACTTTTCATGCACACTCTTCTATTATCAAACCTCATGAAAGTTGTTCTCGTTTTCCTTTGTTTAATTTGCTTGGAGTACAGTGTTGTGAATATCGTGGTTAAGAAGGGGAAAAATAGAACAAACTCGGACATAGAAAACAAAATAACCAAGATAAATCACACCAAGAATTAACATGGTTCAGCTATATGTGCCTACGCCCACGGGGGAGCAAGAACAATTTTTCACTATATCATAATGAGTACAACGGATAACCTTGCCAAGCCTCTAGGATTAAGACTTGACAAAAAACCTAAAAGAACAAGAAATACAGTCTTATCTCTTTTCTTTTCTCTCAAACATACTCTGCCCTCACAATATTCTCTCACTGTTAACTCCTTGAGTGGTATACAACTTATTGTTTTGCTCCAATTCAAAACTAGTGCGATAGCCCCTTTATATAAACATAATAAAGGTCTTTTTCATTAAGGATTACTAATTCTAATTGGAATCTAGTGATGAATCGTTCTTCAGTTGGGTATACAATTTAAATTGGGAAAACAACTTCAATTTAATCCTCTAAGATTAGGAGAACTCGTCATGGGATGGAAAACCAACATAAAGGATGGGAAAATCTCAAGCAAACGGAAGGAGGAAATGTTGTATAAAACAACCTTAGAGAAGATATTAACTTAAGAATCAATTTAAGTAAATTATAATCGAAAGTAAAACCGCAGTTCTTGTAACTTTATTCTTTGGCTAAACAGAATTTGTGGGCAACAACCCCACAAAACCCTTCCTTTATTTTGTTAAAAAGAGCAAACTTTGAATCAAGGGGCATTGCAAATCCCAATATATGATAACCACAACAACGGCAAGCAACTTCACCGAGGTGTTGTATGAAACTTAAGACCAGAATGAATCAACAACTCCAAAAAAACAACAAAACCCAGGATTTTAATGTGGAAAATTGACTCTACAATCGAAACAATCCAAGCATGCAGTGATAGAAATCAACCCAACTCAAAAATTCCAATTCTCACCAAGAAAAAAGAGCCAATGAAATACAGTGGATTTAGAAAGACGAAGTCTTTACCTCTGAAGAAACAGTAACGGAGAGCTGAAAATCAGCAGAAAGGTGAGGCTTCAGCGGAGAAGTGCTTTTGGTGTGACTGCAGAGAAATGGGTTTTTCTCTGACAAGAATTTGCCTTTAGTTGCTCTCTCTCTCTCTCTCTCTCTCTTCAAAGGAGCGGACGTTTCTCCATTGATTATCACATCAGCGGAGACTGCCAACGAGGAAGCCAGTGCAAGAAAGTCCGCTACGTTTTTACAGTCTTTTTAGGAATGAAAAAAAAGAACGGGCCAAATCGGATTAATGATCTCTGTGATAGGGTGCTGGAAAGATTGCCCTTGTGGTCAATTAAATATAGGGATAAAAATGTCCAACCACACTCTTTCTTTATGCTAGCCTTGTTCCCGACGAGCTGATCTTCGAGGTCTTGTGGCGGCTCGACTCCAAGCACAGCCGCAACGCCTGCTCTCTCGTCTTCGAGGTCTTGTGATGGTTCACTGCATGATGCTCTGCACATAGATGATGAAACTCAATCAGCAGCGCCATCAGCTGCAACAGTAGCAACTATTTCTCACGAGTCCAGTCCCACTCCAACGCCTTAGATAATCTTTGACTCCGTCTTTCTGTTGATAACTTATCTTTCAGATATGTTAGAGGTTTTGTAAAGAGTCCAATATTTGTAAAACTCACTGATGTAAATCTTTATAAATCAATACATGCGCACGGCTCATTTCATCGAGCAAGTTCATGCAAAACACAATGCTTCAGTAACATAATTTTACCGTGGAATGCGAGTATTAGAATGGCACTTTTAGAACGAGTACAATTTCCAGACATACTAATAACGCTTCTTTTCCCCTGATCATATGGTCATCGGAGATACAGTGATCATATGGTAATCGGAGATACAGTGATTTGGCCAAAAGAATAAAAGGTAACGAAGGTTGCAGCCTTTGAACCAAAATTAATGTTCGGTTCAGTTTGGTTTTCTATCAGTTTGTGTTTGGTTTCGTTTATTTTTTTGTTCGGTTTCAACCTAATTCGATTGTTTTTCTTTTTTTTTTTTCCCAATTTTCAATTGCAAGAAAGATTTTTTTGTAAGTTTGTTCCGAGTAATACATCTTCCAGAGGAGTCTATAATTAAATTCAAAGTTGAATTCCAACATAATCGATACAATAGGCATTCCAAATTTCCAATAGAATAAAAAACAATGAAAATAATTTTTTGGATAAATTACATAAAACTACTTCAATTACAGGTCGAATAACAATCTCATACCTCATATTTTAAAAATTACAATGTCATATCTCATCTTACGAATTTCTTACAATATCAAACCTCTATTAGTTTTTCTGTCAATTTCTCTGTTAAATGCTAATATGGCTTAGAACGGGGCCCACTTCCTAGTCCAACTAAATTAAAAAATTAACTAAATATTAAACAATTAAATAAATATTAAAATATAAATCAAATCATTTAAATATTTTATAAAACAAATATGGGACCCACCCCTTATCTCCTCACACCTCTTCCCCGCACATGTCTTCCCCCAACCCAAGACCAGAACCACTCCACACCACAACCCTCACCTACCAATCACCACCCTTTCTTAGCACACCACCCAGCTCGAACTCTTATCTTGCCTCCAATCCCAAATGGCTTTCGCCATTGTCCCCGCCAATCTCTCTCTCAAGGTACTCTACCGAACCCTAAACCCAATTGTCCGTACCTCCTTTCCTGAACCCCAAACCAAAATCTAGAAACTCGATCGAACTCGCTCTCCTTTTAACCCCAGAACACCAGCACAGTTGCCTCTTGTGCCTTGAGCCAAAACCCACAAACCCTTGAGTAAAGCCCGAAGCTTTCTCTGAAACAGGCGAATTCAAAATTTCGGACTGGGGGCGAGGCGGAGGTTGAGACCGTGGGCGATGGTGGTGGAGACTGAGGCCTTGGGCGACAATGGTGGTGTGGACATTGTTATGAGATTATGGTTCGACCCATAGTTGAGGTAGTTTTGTGTAATTTACTCAAATAATTACAATCAGGTCTTCCAAAGTCCAAAGCCTTAAAAAAAATAAAATAAATAAACATCAAACTTCAAATCTTCCAAAAGTCCAAACTTAAAATAAACATTAAAGTTCAAATCCTTCAAAGCTTTGATCTCATTGACTTTGAACTTGAACTTGAGGCCTTTGACGACTTTGACTTCATCTAATTCAAACAAAATAATAAGAGGGTAAGTACTTCAAAACAAAAGTAAATGCTAATTGAAAACTATAACATTCACTATCTTGATTGCAAATTGTAACATGCACTCTAACAACACCAAAACAATTACAACAATATGAAAATCCGAAATTGCATAATGAGTTAGCTACACCGTATAATGACACGAAAAATTTATTTATCAAATATGCAATGTATACAGATAAAGGGGAAGTGAAAGGAATAGAACAAAGGCAGTTTGAGTATGAACTTTGAGGCCTAATGATACTAAAGCAAAGAAAATTTGGTGCTAATGAAGATTATTATAACGCTCTGATACAAGCCTGTGTAGGTACTAAAGGCATACTAATCAATGAAAAGAGGTAAGCAGTATGGCAACGATGCCTATATATACATATATATATAGGAGTATAGTTTGCATTAATGATACTTGTGTAGCATTCAATTTGTAACATTATACAAATTATACATATACTAAAACTCAGTTCGGATGACATTGTTTTTCATTGTTCGTGAACAGTGAAAAGATGTAAATACCCTTTATTTCTTCTCACTTCCAAGTTTTGTTGTGTGATTGGTGCAGTAAAATTCTGATTTTGCCCATCTTCACCACGCGTCACTCATCATTAACCCCCTGGTTTTGTTCCTTTTTCTCGATCATTCTTTCGTCTTCCGCTTCTTTCTTTGTTGGCCATGCGTGTTCTTTCTCGAAGGTTTAGTAAACCCTTCCATTTCCTTCCAGTGCATATCTCCAATTGGAACCCACGAACAACAAACACAAATCCAATGTCTTCCTTCTCTCTTCCTCTCACTCGCCTTTCTGGTGTTCTCTCTTTAAAATTCCATCTCTCTCCAAAATTCCATTTCTCTCCTCTTTTTCAAACCACTTTATCTCTCCAGAAGTCCATCGCCACTGCCTTTTCTCTAATGGTGAATTTGGGTGTGCATAAACCCTTCGATTTGTTATTTGTAGGGTTTTGAAAAGGGTTAGCTGATTTTATTAGAGAAAATTGAGAATCTGAGAAAAAAATGAATCTTTTAAATTTGTATTCCTATCATTTTGATGTCTTTCTTTTTGTTGTATTTTAATTGTAGAGGATGAGCATGATGTTGTTTGGTTTTGGTAGGAGAAGGGAAGCCACATGAATGCCCAGTCTGCACACATTAATTTGTGGTAAGTGGAGAAAGGGAAGCCATATGAATGCCCAGGCTTGAACTTGATGTCATATAATTTTTTTTGTTTTTTCCAGCTTCCGTAGTGTTTTGAAGGAACAAGAAGACACATAATAGAACCTGAATGGGAAGAAGAAAGAAGAAAGCCAACTTTTCAATCGATAAGCTAAAATCAATCCCCTCGATCTCCTCCTTGGCGGCAGCAGCGACCACCAGGTTCACCTTTTTAATTTCATTTTAATTTTTTCTCTTTTTAGTTGATTTAAGAAATGAAGAATCTGAAAACGTTAAGCACTCCAAACGGTTGGCCAAATTTAAACTGAAAATTGAGCCTATTTGAGAGAGTTAATTAGTGAAGAATGCTTACTTTTGTTACCTAGAGGTGTGTATAAAGAATCTGATGTAACATATAATATTGACAAGAAGCCTATCACAACATCCCACAGTCTATCATAATCTCTGTATACGATTTTTTCCCTGATATCGTGTGTCTTGCAAAACTTATTTTTTTTGCAGATTAATTCAAAATCATGCTATGGATATACATGGGAAATTGCAAACAAGTTTCCATCTATCCCAGGTATCTTTTTTTCTCTCTGTTTTATGTGTTTTTTTTTTTTACAATTAGTTTGTCTATCTGCTCTGGCTTTAAAGAAAGGATCCAAAATTTACACTGCTTGGTAATCTATAAACATTGAAAACAATAGAAGGTTAGTTGTTGTATGCAAGTTTTTGAGAAAATGGTATTGAGAATCTGATAATTTGGAAGATGCAAGGTTTTGAAAAAATGGTATTGAGATTCTGATAAGTTGGGAGCGAGTGATCATAGGACCAAAACAAATCGGAATTGTTATTTCTGACAACGCTTCTTTATTTCAACTTCAAGCCTTTCCTAGCTTAGAATATTTCTTGAGAACCGGAATGTAGTTTTCGTTTTTAGAATATTGTCATTTGACTTGCTGAAAATATTTAGGGACCTAAGTTTATATGGTGCTCTCATCTCTGTGATGCAGAGCTAATAAAATTTTATGACTAATTAAACTATTGTTTACTTGCAAAGATGTCATTAACTTTGATGCGAGATTTATACGCACACAAATTAAACCCTCTTTTTGTCAATTGTAGTATAAGTATAAGTAGGGATCGTTCTGGACCGGGGATTAGGAGGGATTGCTAAAACCTTGGAAACTGACTCAAAAACGTAAAAACAAGATAAAACACTAAACTAGACTCAAAGAATGTGAAACTAAACGTTAAAACACTAAGACAAACCAAAAGACTCAAAATGCTTTAAAAACACAAACTAAATTGATTTCTAACTAAATTGAACAATAAAGTAAAGGGGGATTGGATTTGGACGACTTTAAACTAAAAATGGAAACTTGGAAATAAAACAAATTGTAAATATGGATTTGACGGAAATGAATGGATGGGAAGCTAGCTAAGGGGTTCATCTCCACATATGTTATACTTGCATACAAAACGATGTCTAATTGCTTTTCAATAAACCATGAATTCTCAACGCCCCGGGTTAATTAGGTCCGCTTAAATTAACCGTCAAGTTTTCCTTAAGTTAATGAATTGGATGATTGCATACGACAATCCAAAGCATTCCTCACAAGTTCCCTACATGAATTGCATAATAGAGATACAAGCAAGAATCATTAAGCATCATGAAAACTATAAGTGTTGACGAGGCATTCGTTACTATGATTGCATGAAACTTATGCCAAGAATATGTTTAACACGATTGTTTATAAGCAACCTCCACTACTTGTGAATATAAGTTCATAACTATTACGTGAAACTCACTTATATTCTAGCGTCAAATTCATGCATGAAAATTAAGCGTTCATTCTTAATAAACATACATAAATAGGTTATCAATCAAATAGTTAAACAAATTGAATTCACAACTTATGAAACGTAATTAGAAGTACTCAAATCATAATGCAAGCATAAACATATATTTCGAATCACCCCCTAGCTAAAGGGGGTTTAGTTCCTCATACGTACAAAACAAAGAGAATTGAAATTAAACATTGAAATCGAAGAAACGCCTAAACATTCCAACAACTCAAACGTGAATTGTATGAACGTTTAGGCACTCTTCTCTTCCTCTTTATTGTAGCATAAGGTCTAGGGATAGTTGGTTGGGGGGATGGAAGTGTGGAAAAGAGTGAGGAGTGATGGAAGTGGAAGAT